CACAAAATTTTACCAAAATCCATAATATAAAAACTTACGACTTTAAAACTCTTTATGCAACCATTTCCCTCGATAAATTAAAGTCCAGGTTTTTGACATCACTGACAGCTGCTTTTTTCAATAAAAAAGGAACTCTTTTTACTTAAATGCTTTATTCTTAAATACTTTAACTTCTACTTAAATTTACTTACTTTGTCATTGCTCATTTACAAAATTATTTTGTTAAAAACACTCTGATTGTATACACAAGTACTCTGAAATTGATATTAAAAAGATGCTTGAGTTTCTGATTGACAATATCTATGTGGTTTTTGGAGACCAGGTCTTCCAACAATCTGTTGGTATTCCCATTGGAACCAATTGCGCCCCGTTCTTAGCAGACTTATTTTTGTACTCATATGACAGGCATGGGCACGATTACTTGAAAATGTAATCGATTAATAATCGATTACTAAGAGAAATATTGTCGATTATTAATCGATTCCAGTCATTTTTGTCCTGTAATCGATTATTTAGGAAGATATAATCGATTAATAATCGATTACTTCCAAGTATTTTTTCTTCAGATATCAAAGCAGAAAAATATTTAAATGGAACATGGTAATATTAATGATATCCACCGAAGTTTGAATTCATTCATTGATTGTGTTCAGTTTCAGTGCAGATTCTGTTAACTAAAGGTTTCTCTGGTTTAATTTCATACTTTTGATCTAAAATGCTCTCAGAATGTTTAAATGAGGGATTCTCTACAATGAAGAGTGGAGACATTGTTCCTACAATAAAGTACTCCAATTCAAGGAATATTTCCTGTCGACTTTGGATATGAACTTCCATATTCATTGACTTTTGTTGCAGAAATTATTTAATATTTTGTTGCTCTTTAAAAGTATTTGAATTGCTGCATATTGGCAGTGCACATAATACATTTCTCTGCTTTCTTTAGAAAAAATAAATTAGAACTCTTAGTAATAAACATTTGAATTAAATGTGCCTTTAATTAAGTAGAACTAATAGCGCCAATTACCAGGTTCTGTGTTGAAACAAGTGTTTTGAGTGCTATTAATTGTTCTAATAATATTGCTTATCTTCAACATGTTAAATGGAGCTATCAATTATATGAGTTGAACACTAGCTAGTTCACAGTTCTCACCTTATTACAGTGTATCTGCAGTCAGAGATGTCTTGATTAGCCAAGATAAACATTACACTTAAACCCCTCTTTCTCTTTTAAAATAAAGACATAACTTCTCACTGACAAAACAAATAAACTTAAAGTTATGAATGAAAACATGTAAATGATTTGTAAATGTTGAAGTTAGTAAAAAATAACTTTGAAGTTGCTTGAACATTACCAGAAATGAATTTCCATCGTATTTTTCCAAGTAGTATACCACATAATAAAAGTTGTTTTATGTTGTTTGTTGCTGTTTAACGTCCCTCTCGAGATTTTTTCACTCATATGGAGACGCCACCACTTGCCGGTGGAGAGCTGAAAATTTTTGACCTATACTCTGCCATTTGAGCAGTGAGGGATCTTTTTCGTGCCAGCACCTACTGCGACACGGGAACTCGGTTTATACGGTCTGATCCGAATGACCGGTCTCCACGTCTCACAGTGAGATTCGAACCCGCGACGTAAGGATCAAGTGATACTCCGCGACTCTAGAGCAGACACTCTAACCATTGCGCCACGCGGGCATAAAAGTTTTGATATCAGGCATATCACTGGGTGGTTTGTTCTTGATATTTATGAGCGACTATAACTGGACATAATTGTTCAAAATAACATTTATGTATAAAGTAATCGGAAAAGTAATTATAATTACACTGAAAAAATTAGTTGTAATCGATTACATTACGAAAATCTCTTCGATTATAGATTACTGTCATTTACTTTAAAATAAGTAATCATTACAATCGATTACGATTACTCGATTACGATTTCCCCATACCTGTCCTATGAAGCGAGTTTATTCATAATCTTCTACATTAGAAAAAGAAATCGCTTGCTGTTGCCTTCTACTCGACATTTAGATATATCGACGACGTATTGTCGATTAACAATAGTTATTTCCATTCATACGTCGACAAGATATATCCCAGTGATCTTGAAATTAAAGATACCACAGAGTCTGACACATCTGTTTCATATTTGGATATTTTACTAGAAAAAGACGTTAATGGTAATCTTACAACAAAGCTTTATGAAAAAAGTCAACTTCCCTTACTTATGCAGCAATATACTTTCATCACCTGCATATGGAGTGAATATCCCTCAGTTGATTCGATACTTAAGACCATGCTCTACGCATAAACAATTTCTAAAACGAGGTAAGTTACTGACAAACAAGTTGATTAAACAAGAACATCTCGTTTAAAGTCATCATTTCGTAGGTTCTATGGTCGATGCAATGACCTAGTCAGCAAATACAATCTATCATTTAGTCTTATGCTGACTGATGTTTTTCATACTAATTGTTAGGCCATTATTTACACACTGAATTGTCTACGGATTTTCCCGTTATTTCCCGATCACGACAAGGAGCGCACGGCGGGTGTGACCGGTCGGCAGGGGATGCTCACTCCTGATCTTACCTTTGATGTTTTTAGAGGTCCGTGTTTGCTCTGCTACCGATTTGTATTGTTTTAAAGGACTTTGGGCTTGAATACTGTTCTTTATCTCCATATTATGTTAAAGTTCATGTCAGTGATCGGCTTAAGGGTGCAGATAAAGTTGTTTGATGATTATTTGATATGATAATTCGATATCTAATTATAAGTTCGTGTTAGTTTACAATTAAACTCACTTCATAGATTTTTACAAAGTACATGTAATACCATGCAAATATAAAGCATATAAACTTCAAATAATTTATTACATATTTGTCATTAAAATACAATTTAGCAATGCATAAAAGGTAGGATGTATTAACAAATAAAATAATTTATTCATATCCTATGAAAGATTTTCTTTCTCTCTATTGGTAATAGCACCATTTCTGTACAACAGGGAAAGAGCTTTTGTATATTTCTACTTACAAAACAGCCCAGAAATGATTTATTGAGAAGAGCTAAAAACAATACGATTTTAAATGAGGTCAAAATGCAGGAGCATTTTGAACTGAATACCACAAAGTTTAATGATTAAAAAGCAAATCTTTCAATATTTGAAATAATCTTTGTTAAATCTTCAAAGTAGGAGAAGATTGATCGTATTCTAACCAGTAGAATGAAAGAGAATCGCAGAATAAGGCCCAGTTTAATGGAATCTACTTTATTTGTAACTAAGGTTGGCACCTCATATTTGTTCACATTAATTAAAAGACCTTAATTCTACCACTGATTAAATTCAGAACTCTTAAAATACCATTTGGACATATGTTTACTACATTTCTATTGAAATGACTTATTTTTAGCCATTCTATAGTTATGTATTATGACATTATTCCCATATCCTCAAAATTTCTTCCAAAATTGGATTTTTTAAAATGTTTTTTTTTAATATTTCCAATACAGTAATCGATCCATAAATACAAGTAAATAATGATAGAATTAGTTTACTGCAGTTTGTAAAATATCTATTTGGAAGGAGAGGGTGCATTTTTCGATTTCTTTCTAAAGTAGCCAACAGATTTTTGTTTTTGTAAAATTCACCATTGTAATTTCACGATGCTTAATTTCTAATACTTGGAGTTCCAGATGGAAGAAAGCATCTCTAAATAATTTAAATATATGTTGACGATCAATCAATTGGTTTATATGAACAGCACCATTTTATGCATAATTTAAACATACCCGGTAGCTCTTTATTAAACATTACTTCCTCGCGGATCTAGGAATTTTTCCAGGGGGATGGAGGTTCCAAACAAATTACGAATATCTCTTACAAATAGTTTGATAAGCAATTAAAAAATCAAAAAAGGGTAAACCTAATACAGATTTACTGGGGGAGGAAGTGTCTTTCTAAGAAGTCACTTTCTAAGTCAATTTTTTGATGACAATTATTTTTTCTCAAAATCTTTAAAGCAATATGAGCTGCATTTTTGAGAATTTTATTTTGCTGTTAAAATGTGTTATTATGATAAATTTGTATGTAATTTAAACCTTTTTTATCATTTAGACAGAAATTAAATATCAAATTGTTTCAGAATAAAGGATTCTGTACAATAAAATATATAGTATTATATAAGAAATCAATATTGTACAGGACGACAATAATGTAATTTTACTTCAATCAAAGCTTATAAATAGTTCTTCCATCGCAAATATGAACAACAGAAGTTATAAACGTTCTTTTTTTCTGTCATTGAAATAGTTAACTACAATTTTGCAACAAACATTTCTGACATCAAAGTTGTAGAGCATTGCTTTAAATAGGATAGTAATATATATCAATGACCAATAAAAACAATTACAACCATCAAACTGCCTTTAGTCTAAAGAAATATATATAGAACAATTATTGACTCTCAAGCTTATAAATGTTTAAACAATAAAAATGTGCCTGCTTTGAGAGTAAAAAGTGCACGAAATCATTAAATTTTTTTTTACCCCGAAATATAAAAGAAGGAGCAATTTTCATTGAAGATAACTGATGTCCCTTTCATATACATTATTGTCCTTACCATTTCATGAGGGGGCTGTGTTTCTTGGAGAATCCAAGATCATTTTTGTGATTTCAAACAGATATTTGATAACTCTGAAAACCCTCAGGGATGGGGGGTGGATGGATCTCCCCTTGATCCCCTATATCTGGAAAAAACTTACAGAGTAGAGAGAGTTTTTATAATGAAGGGCGATAAAAATTTACTCTAAGGGAAAGATGTAATATTTTTTCTGAAAAGGAAGAAAAAAAATGAATATCTTCGTAACGAATGTAATTTTCTTCAGATTTGATGCACACAGCACATAAAATATTTCTTTGGTGTGATTTTCATTACTACTGATTAGATACTATAGAACTTTAACAGCAGAATTGACAGTTTTAATGTTTTTTATAGGAATTTAATGCAAATACTGACTCAACAAGTTTGGTAAGGAATAACCTTCCATTCCAAGTAATATCTCGCTATCTACGAATCTACCCCACGGACTGTCATGACTACTGCAGTCTACGGTTTGATGTCGTTGGCTGTGAAGGTAAACATTGGTTTATGAAATTAAATTAATACCATTTCATACATGGTATAGAATTAATAATGAGAGGTTCTTCAATTGTGTGTGTTTTTTTAATTTATTTGTTTATTTGGGGGGGGGGGATGACGGGAGAGGAGGTTAGAACACATTACGGTAATAGTAGTGTAAGTCTAACTGATCCATAATTCTAATTACAAAGAGGTCATAATTTTAAATTCAGTGACGTCATTGTCCACAACGATGGCATCAACGACCATAAGTAGAACTACAGCAGGAGTGAAAACAACAATCGAACCATCAACAACTACGTCGACCGATGCTATGGCCACCACCTCGACAGCTAAAGGGACGACATCGACACAAATGCCTACAACGACATCGGTACATATTTCTGCAACGACAGCTTCAAGTACAATCGTGTCGACATCTCCCTGTCCGTGTACATGTGTCAAACAACATAACTCTACCTTAACAGAAAAAGAACTCCGCGCCAGATTAGCTGGTATCGTGCAGAATTTGACAATTTCTAAGAAAACAACATCTATCTACAAGAGAAGTAAAATTTCTGCGCAGGATAACAGACCGCAAGTAATGTATGTAGGATCTATAGGAATAGCTATTTTGATTATAGTTAGTAGTTTAATTGTTCTACCGGACTTGTTCAAATTATTTCAATTTTTTCTATGCTACACACAGTAACAATAATTTGCTTTCAAGTAAATCTACGTACTACACTTTGGCACTCTCTTCCATCAGCTCATACATGTATATTCACCTTTTTTCAGCTCTTCAGAGTTTTTTTTTTAATTTAAATATGTCGGATTTCCAACGTTTCGGCATGGGCATCACTGAAGAGACATAATTGTCGAAATGCGCATCTGGTGCATCAGAATTGGTACCGTATATGATTTACATTCACCTCTGCCGTTGGCTTGCGTACTAGTATATCACAGTGATTAGCACGATAATTAGTGCATTTTTGCATTTCATATAATTAAATGCTTGGTTTATTTTATTTCTTTTAAGGTACATATTTTAATTACTAAGTAGATCTAGTCTAAAAACTACAAGTTTTATTTCAAATTATTCTTGAATAACATGTCTTTTTTACTTTATGCAAAAAACCTTGACGCGAGTCAAAATGCAGCACAGGCACCTGCAGTGTGGATCGATACCCACCCTACCTACTTTAATTAAGAAAAATAATAAGAGCATATTATCTCTCAAAACTTTGAGATTTCCCAGTTAATCACATCCATATTTCGTTCTTTGAAATGTATTGAGATAACGAACAGTATTCAAGCTCAAAATCCCATTACACAATACAAATTTTGGAGCATAGCAATCAGGGACCTCTAAAACATCAGAGGTGGGATCAGGTGCCATAGAGGAGTGAGCATCCCATGCCGACTGGTCACACCCGCCGTGTGCTCCTTGTCATGATCGGGAAATAACGGAAAAATCCATCGACAATTCAGTGCGTAAGTAATGGCCTAACAATAAGTATGAAAAACGTCAGTCAACATTTGACTTAATGATAAATCGTATTTGCTGACAAGGTCATTGTATCGACCATAGAACTTACATGTACGAAATGACGACTTTAAACGAGACTGCTGTTATTTTTTGTTTCATCAACTTGGTTGTCAATAACTTACCTCGTTTTAGAAATTGTTCATAAGCATGCTCTTGCGTATCGAATCAACTGAGAGATATGCAAACAGGCTGTTCTTTTTTCTAAGTTTAGACATTGGTCATGAATACAAAAGGTAAGAAACAAAATTTATAACCAAACCGGGGGTTCCCTGCTTCGTTACATATCTCTAAGGTAATGAAAGTGTTACCTATTAAATTTTTGCAAGTACTCCGTCAGGGAGATGTTTTCTACTAGCGTCTTTAACTTAAACCCCATTCTTAGTGTTTTATATACCGTAATCAGACTATTTAAAACATGATTGTGACGTAAACCTTGTTTGTGTTGTCCATTCTATAGCTTAACGTTTAGCTAACTTCTCAAACAGTCCATTAAGTTACCTGTAAGTGTCCATTCTTTTTTAAAAACTGTCCATTCTTTTAAGAATGGACAGTTTTTTTTTTTCCAAAAGAGTGAACATTTAAAACAAACAGAATGGAGAGTTACAGGTAAACTTTGGAATGTGCTCAAGAGGGAAACAAAAACAAATACATTAAATATTCTTTAATTTACATGTAATTATAAATAACAAAAAGAACGCGGGGATCTAATTTAATCAAGAACACAATGTCTGCATAGCATCCAATCGATTTTACTCTTTTAAATCCATGAATAATGCACATTATTTCAATGCTCAAAATTTAATTTTCACAAAACTTGAATTCAAATGACACAATTTCACATTTAATTAAAATTTCGGAAAAATCATTCTTTCGAGGATAATTCATTTTCAGATAGAAGTACGTCTAATATTAAATCCTCCACCCAGAAAACAGTTCGCACCATGAACACTACACTGCTGCAGGTAATGAAAAATAGTAGGTAGAAAATATATAAAAATGAAACATTTCCAGATTTGTTTTGAAAAACATTTTCAGGTCGAAGATTGGCTCATGGCTAATCCAACACTTAGAACACAATTTGCATCTCACCATTACACTGCTGCAGTTAATATATCCTCAAAAATAGAATTCAAATAAAACATTTCCAGGTTTGATTCGAATTTGATCACCTGTATGTGTCGTCGAAGTTCATTTTTGGGTCAAAATTTGGCTAATATTTTTTTACTCTTACTTTTCTGTGTCCAGATCCCTAATTTTGTGCATATTTTGGTTTATTAGATTTTGATTCTGTCACATACTCTCTCCATCACGTATGCCTTTACAACGCAAACTGTAAACTGATTTTGAAGCATCGCATACTTGTATAAATACTAGTATCCCACAAAATCCACCTGTAACTGTCCATTCTTTAGACAAAGATATTTTGTTATTTTCATCTGGAAACACAATGGCTATATTCAAAAAATTGCTCTGCATCCCTAGCTTATACCTGTGACTGTCCATTCCGTAAACAATCAACATGTCATTGTATGTATGCTACCTGTCATATCTCATACCAATTTCGTACATTTTTTATTTAATTTTCAGAACAAAGGAAATCATGTTTTAAGTAGGAGAAAGGCCCCAAACTGTCCATTCTGTGAGAGAAAGAACTAATCGGATCTACGGCCCTCGATTAGTTCTTTCTCTCACAGAATGGACAGTGTTCGGCCTTTCTCCTTTACTTATTAATCGGGTGCAAAATATTTTCTCTATTGTCAGCGAGGAAGGAAGTTTTGGTGTTATCGCTTCGTTTCGCTTTATCTGATTGGTTGATTTCAAGTGATATCTATACTACTATATTAAAATAATAGACTCGGATTTTTGGCCTTTAATACCGATAAATCGGAAGAGTACTGTCTTTTGTTATATATATTTTAAACATAATTGGTACTTGAAGATTACCAATTTGTTTTTATTTTTTTTCTCAATTAGCCTTCGCTAATTAATAATCATCGAAAATTCCACAAAAAATTCCGGAAATCATCTGGATTTTTTGGATTTTACAATCTTGCGCGTGCGCATTACATTCACGGTAAATTACGGTGTTCAAATCAGAGAAGACAAAAGAAGTACTAAGTAGATAATTATATATTTGTTATTTTATAATTTCTCTAATAAGAAATAAGAAATCATAAATATATATGAACAGAATATATAGCAAATTTCCAATGAAAATTTACACGTATTTGTATTATCTTTCTGAGTTTATCCATACAAGTGTGATATTGTGGCCACGTGGGTAATCATTCGCCATCTCGGAGACACATTTATTATGTTATTTATGTCTCTGGCCATCTCAACGGGGGCAAAAAGCTCATGATCGTAGGAGCAATATTAATGTAACTACCCGATTTTATTTTATCCTTCCTTTCTTTTATGCTTTTTTGAGGGGAAGGGGGGGGGGTTACAACTCCAGCTAGAATCACATCTTAGTGAAGTAAGCATTCTTTTTCCGCCAAAAATTACAATAACATTATTTTCATTTCTTAACTTTGAAACAAATCGAAGTAATTAAATAACGTCAATATAACCCATATTTTCAATTTGAAATGTGTCTAAATGATTGCAACTTGAATTTGTTCGCCATGTTTACTATTACCTTCACTGCTGAAATTTATAACGCGGTAAATATGAAACATAAACTAAGGGCAAAGAAGTATTTGATTCCATGCAAAAAATTCACATTATATTTCTTAGAAGTGCAGTGAAATCAATAGCATTATTGTAGGTTTATAGCTTTGTTATGTAAATACATGTAATGACCTCTGACCCTGGTCTGTCAACAATACGGTGAACACCCCCTGCAATGCTTGCGCCGTGCATTTCCCACGTGAACCATCAAAGAAAGCATTTTAAATTTATTGTTTATATCTAAATTCACCTCTAAAAATTTCTTTAACTTTACAAAAATTGGGTGAAATACACTGTATGTAAATTATTGTTATTGATCTTCAGTACGTTATATAGAAGGGACAGCCTGTTCTTCTAAATATGTAAAGGTTGTCATGGTAACTACGCTTTATAGGTATCAGCAGTGCTGAACTCTTTGTTGTTGTCATATTTTCAAATGAATATCCATAATTTCTTTTATTAAATTTGTTTGGAAAGGTGAAATTTATGTAAGCTCCGGCGTGATTATAACTCATGACTTGATTTATAGCTAACTGATGGTCAAAGCCATTCTGCGCTACGCCGTTACGAAACAATTTTGCAAAAAAAAACAAAAAACAAAAAAAGCAAAACAACAAAAAAAAAAACAAAAAAAAAAAAAAACAAACAAAAAAAAAAACCAGAATTATATTCAAATTCATTGTTTATCTCAAAAGTAACTTACAATATCAATGTGTCGATGTATCTATTTTGTAAATGTCCGATATGCACATGGATGCATTCATAACAATGTCAACCCGTGCACGCACGGGTCAAAGTCTAGTAGTTTATTAAATTATTGACTTATCAGATAAAGCCAAAGAGATCGGCAAACACTAAAACGTCCTTTATCGCTATCAATGGAGAAAATTTTTATGATCGTCCGACAGCAGATATCACGAAGCAGGGAATCCCCGCTTTGTTTATAATTTTTGTTCCTTGCCTTGTGTGTTTTTATTCTTTAAACGGAAGAAAAAGTACAATCAGTTTGCACAGAAAGAAATATGGATGTGATTGACGGGAAAATCTATTATTTTTAAGAATTTGCAGGATCCTACTTTTTTCATGAAAAGAAGAGGCATCTACACTTCAGGTGCCTGTGCTTTGCAGAAGTGTCCGAAAGAGGAACGAACGACAACTCTGCATAGGAGATTCATACTTTTGGAGAAATAACAAAAGAATTTTGTACGTTACGTTTATTATGAAGGATAAATAACACGAACATTTTTTTTCAAATATTAAATATCTTTGCTTAAATAAGTACTTCTCTCACAAAAGAAGTGATACCTGTTTAGTCAAACTACCTCTTTTGTTTGGATAAACCACATGATTTGAGGAAAAGTGGGAAAGTGTAACATTTTAGCTCAATATTATTAAAAAGCTTTAGAAAACTATTAACTTTTGTTACTGAAAATTTCATGAAATATTTTCAAGAGTATATGTTTACATTGTACACGATAAAAATTTCCTGA